CTTCCATTAAAGTAGGTCTTCAGCCTGAAGGAGCTCATAATCGTCATTCAGAAACTGTAATTAATTAAATCCGTCATTTTTTTTTTTTTGGAAAAAACTACAATAACAACAAAGCTTTGGCAATAATAGTTGCAAAACTCTCCACACAATGGCTTTTTGCCTTTCATTTTCCTGAAATTATATTGATTACTTTAAACTAATCTTGAAATCTGATTGGTTGTTTTGTTTTACTGTCCCCATTCTCATTGGCTGAGAAAAAGATGCGATTTAGAGCAAAAAATAGTGCGATTCGTGAATAAATTGCACCACTGAGAGCCAATCAGATTGCAAGGATAACCAGTGATTTCAAAATGGATTTAATAAATGCTCAAATCGGGTGCTGATAGCCAATCACGTTCGAGAATTTTGTTATAGTTTCGATTAAAACTTAAACCGCTTGAAGTGGACCGTTCATATCGCGGTCATTTCATCCAGTCAAATGGTATTTTCGATTTTCATAGTTAGCAGTTCACTCTTAGGAAAAAAAGTAAAGAACAGTCCAGTTTTTGACTATGTCTAAAAAATGTGATAAGTCATGACTCGAACTAGAAATAATCTAATCCACCTTCGGTTTCCTTGGGCGAAAGCTGTGTTGCGTCGCAACAAATATGCTTCTCTTTCCAAAAATAAACCTTGAAATATTCAACAACGTGGTGATTGTCAACTCCGCCTCCTGAAGTTCTCACACAATATATATATAGGACTTTCCTCAAGTTGCTCCGCAACATTTTGGCACACTTGTGGTATTTGGAGGAACTTTTTTCGTTTCGAGCAACTTTTTGCATTCTGAGCAATTTCTAGTTTTCTATCAATTTTGAGAAATTGGAGCAGCTTTTTTGTGCTTAAATTGGCCTTGCTTCCATATCTTACAATGTTTCAGTGGACAATTTATGAATTTCCTGTGAAAATGGAGTCAGATCCCCCCTTCCCCCTGAGGCAGATGATAGGTGCAAGGTTCATACAGCCGGGCTGGTAGGTCAGCGCACGAAGATTCACACATGACTGAACTGACTCGAGTGTCTCAGGTGAAAAATTTTTACATGAAGCGTAGTATTTACTCAAACATTTTTGGTTGTAATTGAGGACAGAGTTATTTAGCAACGCTGGTACGCCGTAAAATTGCACAAAAATGCTTAGAAATCTTACTTTGTTGTACAACTTGCATAGTTTTGCACCAGGCCAAATAAAGCATGAGAGCAACAAAATGATTTTTTTTTTGTTTTTTGGCAGCTACTTTCGAGACACTTTCGTTACAACTTTTGACCTTTTTTAAGCAACTTTTGAGCGAATTTTTGAGAAATTGCGGGCAATTTTTCGGGAAATCTCGAGCAGGTTGTGGAAAGTCCTAAAATAATATCCATATCGTGGATTTCCACGATACACATTTAAATGATATGTGGCTTTTCCAAAACAGAAAACCTAGATCCTTATATCATTTGACCGTAACTCCGTTTTGACAAGGCATGCAAACGTCAGACAAAATAGTCTACAAGCCTAAAACTGACTACCTTTTAGAATGTTTTCTCCCGCATACTTTTGCCCGAATCATCAGCGTTTTACCCGAAAAAATTCAAACATTTTTAAAACTGGGGGTACACCTGTGATATCAATCACTTAATTCTCCACTACTGTCGCGGTAACCCTAACCCAAAGCTAACAAAAACCCAAACCCTAACCCTAGCCCTAACCTCAAAGACTTATGCCGGGGGGGAATTTCAGGACATTTTTCTCACTTTTCCCATAGGAACTGAAAATCCGGAAAGGAATTTTCCCTGTCCAGCCCGTCTTTGGCGAGATTCTGAACGCTAACCTGAAATAACCCTAGCCCTAACCATAAGACTAAGTCTAACCTCAAAGACCTATGCCCGCGGGAATTTCAGGGCATTTTTCTCACTTTTCCCATAGAAATAGAAAATCCGAAAAGGAATTCTTCCTATCCAGCCCGATTTTGGCGAGATTCTGAACCCTAAGGCCCAGTTCAGACGCCGAACTTTCCATGAGCCGAACCAAATACATCGAATTAAGTACATGAAAAGTTCGGCGTTTGAACCAGTTAAGAACGGCTGTTTGAATTTGGAACGGCCCAGCCGTTCTTCCCGCCTAGCTCAGCCGGTAATTTCGGCTTTGGAACGACTTTGATTCAGACGTCGAACTTTTCATGAGCCGAACCTAATGCATAAGTTATTATAACGTATTTTCCAAGCAGTTTTCAGTTTGCCTGAAAATCGCTGACCTTTCGATGTGATTTAGTTTAAACTAAATAAAGTTCGGCGAATTAAGTTCGACGTCTGAATCAACAGGTGTACTCTTGATAATTTGGGTCGGTCCAAATTCGAATTAAGTTCGGCTTATGAAAAGTTCGGCGTCTGAACTGGGCCTAACTTCAAATAATCCTAACCCTAATATTTAAACCTAACCACAAAGGCTTATCCAGTGGAAATTTTAGGGCATTTTTCTCACCTTTCTCATGGGAATGATTAACAAATTGACGTCAGTTTTTTATGCGTCTGTCCTCTTATTGATGATAAATTGCTAACAAGATCAAGGTTTTGTTTGTTCCTCGTTGAAAGCACCAATCTAGAAATTAAACGCGTCTTACGGTAGGGATACGTGTTCATGATACGAGAAAACCGTCAGTTTCAAAACAGAAATAGTAGCAAATATTTGAAAGAATTAAGAAACTAACACGTTAATCGTTATCGTGTGCCTTTACCTTCAAACATCTTTACAAACCACTTTGTGTTTCGTTTAGAGCCTTTGGACTCGGCGTTTGTCACAATATCTTGCAGGTCGTCTCCGCTCAATTCTGGAAACCTGGTTGTCTTTTCAATTTCCTCGTTTTCTAGAGCTTCTGCACAAGAGACAAGATCGGTATCTGACATATCTAGCTCATTTTCCCACTCAGCGAGACTATCGTCTGAAATACTGAAATGTTCGAGTCATTCCCGATGCTCTCAAATGATGGCGGACTCCACCGACGCCAATAATCTGGAACAAAACAAGGTCATTATATATCGGATCACGTCTAAACACACGTGAAGAAAGACTTGGGCAGGAAAAAAAACGTAAGCGGACAAAACCGGGGAATGCCGATAAATCAAGTAATCCCGCAATGATTAACGAATTACACATGAACCTTCCTCTGCTTCTCCCCCTGAACCAAGTTCAGATCTACGAACTGAACTTAAAGANCATATAAACTTTCTTTTCTCTCGTAAGTTCTCGCGCGTTTAGAGATGCGCCACACTCGCGTTTTTGGTGTGGGGATTCCAAAGTATGCTTACAGCACTCTATAACAATGCTAGATTTAGCCCTCCCCCAAATCTACACACGTGTATTTCACTCGTGGAAGTCTGTCGCTTTCAACAATGCTTGGGATGGAGATTCTCGCCCATTTATATTTTTTTCTCTCGCGTGTTTTCACGCGATTAGAGATGCGATACACTCGCGATTTTGGTGTCGTGATCTCAAACTATGCTTACTGGACTTTTTAAAGATGCTACATTTGGCCCCTTCTCAAATCTACACACGTGTATTTCACTTGTGGAAGTCTGTCGCTTTAGACAATGTCTGGGTTAAAGATTCTCGCCCATTTATACCTTTTTTTTTTGTACTCGCGTGTTTTCGCGCGTTTAGCGATGTGGCACACTCTTGGGTGTAGGGATCCCAAACTATGCTTACGGGGCTCTTTAAAAAAGCTAGTTTGGCCCTCCACCAAATCTACACAAACTTATTTCACTTGTAGAAGTCTACCGCGTTGGACAGTGCTTAGGTTGGAGATTCTCGCCCATATAAACTTTCTTTTCTCTCGTAAGTTCTGACGCGTTTAGCGATGCGCCACACTCGCGTTTTAGGTGCAGGGGATCCGAACCAGTGCTTACCTAACTTTTTAAAACTGTAACTTTTAGCCTTCTCCCAAATCTACACACGTGTATTTCATTTGTAGAAGTCTATCGATTTGGACAGTGCTTAGTTTGGAGATTCTCGCCCATATAAACTTTCTTTTCTCTCGTAAGTTCTCGCGCGTTTAGAGATGCGCCACACTCGCGTTTTAGGTGCGGGGATCCGAACCAGTGCTTACCTCACTTTTTAAAACTGCAACTTTTATCCCTCTCCCAAATCTACACACGTGTATTTCACTTGTAGAAGTCTATCGATTTGGACAGTGCTTGGGTAAGGGATTCGCGCCCATAGCAACTTTYTTTTCTCTCGTAAGTTCTCGCGCGTTTAGAGATGCGCCACACTCGCGTTTTAGGTGCGGGAATCCCAACCAATGCTCACCTAACTTTTCAAAGATGCTACTTTTAGCCCTTCCCCCAATCTACACACGTGTATTTCACTTGTGGAAGTCTATCGATTTGGACAGTGCTTGGGTTAGAGATTCTCGCCCATATTAGCTTTCTTTTCTATAGTAAGTTCTCGCGCGTTTAGAGATGCGGCCCACTCGGGGTTTTGGTGTCGGGATCACAAACTATGCTTACTGGACTTTTCAAAGATGCTAGTTTTGGTCCTTTGTTAAATCTACACACGTGTATTTTACTTGTGGTAGTCTGCGACTTTAAACAATGCTTGGGTTGGAGATTCTCGCCCATTTATATTTTTTTTCTCTCGCGTGTTTTCGCACGTTTAGAGAGGCTTCGCACTTGCGATTTCGGTGTCGGCATCTCAAACTATGCTCACTGGATGTTTTGAAGATGTTAGATTTGGCCCATTCTCAAATCTACACACATGTATTTCACTTGTGGAAGTCTATCGATTTGGACAGTGTTTAGGTTGGAGATTCTCCCCCACATCAACTTTTTTTTTTCT